CATTACTGATGTCAGATGGATCATGGCTGAAAGCAAAGAATACCAGAAAGATGTTTAGTTAAGTTTTATTGACTATGCAAATCATTCAATTGTGTGGATCATAACAAATTATGGACAATATTGAGAAAAATGAGAATTCCAGAGCACTTGATTGTACTCATGAGGGACGTGTACATAGATTAGGAGACTGACATTTGAACAGAACAAGGGGATACTGCATGGTTTAAAATCAAGAAGGGAGTATGTCAGGGTTGTATCCTTTCACCATACTTATTTAATTTTTATGCTGAGCAAATAATCTGAGAAGCTGGATTATATGAAGAAGGTGGCATCAGGATTGGAGGAAGACTCATTAGCAACCTGCAATAGGCAGATGACACAACTTTGCTTGCTGAAAGTGAGGATGACTTGAGGCACTTACTGATGAAGATTAAAGACTACAGTCTGCAGTACAAGTTACACCTCAATATAAAGAAAACAAAAATCCTCACAACTGGTCCAATAAACAGCTTCATGGTGGATGGAGAAAAGATTGAAGTTGTCAAGACCTTCATAATCCTTGATTCTATATCAACACCAATGGAAGCAGGAGTAAAGACATCAGCAAATCTTCTGCAAAAGACCTCTTTCAAGTGATGAAGAGCCAAGATACTTCCTTGAGGACTAAGGTGCAGCTAACCCAAGCCATGGTATTTTCAATTGCCTCTTATGCATGTGAGAGCTGAATAATGAATAAGCAAGACCAAAGGAGAGTCAATGCTTTTGAGTTGTGGTGTTGGAGAAGAATGCTAAGAGTACCATGGACTGCTAAAAGAACCAATAGATCTGCCCTGGAAGAAGTGCAGACGGAATGTTCCTTGGAAGCGAAAATAGCTACACTTTGTCTCACCTCCTTTGGTCATGTTGTCAGGAGGAACCATTCCCTGGAGAAGGATATCATGCTTGGTAAAGTGGAGGGTCAACGAAGGAGAAGGCCCTCAATGAGATAGATAGACACAGTGGCTGCAACAATGGTCTCAGGTATAGCAAGGATCATGAAGCTGGCACAGGACCGGGCAGTGTTTCATTCTGTTGTGTATAGGGTTGCTATGAGTTGGAGAAGACTCGACAGCACCCAACAACAACAACAAGAACATTTCCATAGTAAACTGTCCAGTCCCTTTGCAAGATTTTGGCCTAACAAATCATCTGGGAAGAACTACTGTTCTGGTTACCTAGTGCCACTCTGACAGGAATATATACCACAGATGGGATGGTCTTAACAAACAGGAGTTTATTCTCTTACAGTTCAGGAGTCTAGAAGTCTGAGTTCCTAGTGCCAGGCTCTAGGGGCTGTGTGAAATCTCCTCCACCTTGGGCTTCAGCTCTGCCTCTTGCTCCCGGCCCACTGAAGCTAGAAGCATCTCTTCAGTCAGGCAGCTGTTGGCTGCTGAGGCTAACAAGCCCAAGGTTGAAAAAATGGCACAGTCCTGATGTTACCAAACCACACGGCAGGCCATTAGTTTAAGTCCATTGAAAGTCCCAGGATTGGCAGAGCATGGAAGGTTGCTGAACAATGACATGGCTACATGCAGGGTTCAAGTGTGCCATAAGGTAGAGACTATCCCAAGGCTTCTCCTTATGTACAGGAAGAAGACCACATCCCTAAGGCAGCTACTCAGCTGCTCACAGTAGATTCCACCATGGAGTTGATTACCAGTCTCATCATGGGGAATACTACATCCAGCTGCCCAGCCACTCAACCAGGCCCAGCCAAGTTGACACACAAACTGAACTACCACAACTACCAACCCAGGGCCAAAAAGTCCTTGTTGTTGTTGTTATGTGCCGTAGAGTTGGCCCCGACTCATAGTGACCCCTCCTTGGGTTTCCGAGGCAGTATCACTACAGAAGTAGATTGCCCTATCTTCCTTCCAAGAAGTGGCTGGTGGGTTTGAACCACCAGCCTTCTGGTTAGCAGTCAAATGCCTTAGGCACTACGCTACCAGAGCTCCCAAAAGACCTTATAGAAAGAGAAATTCATTGCCCTGTATAGATATGTTTCAAAGATCTCCATAAATCTATTCTAAAATTTAAGGAACATTTTCTGTGTTAGACACTGTATTTCTAGATGCTAGAAAAACAGCTGAACAAGCTCCATGCCTGCCTTAAAAAAGAGTCTAGGAGTTTTAGAGAAAGACCTGTCAAATACGTTACAATTCATTGAGGTGTATGCTGTTATTAAGGAAGAAAGGACGGGTTGTTGGAGAGAAAAGTGCTATTAATTATACTTGAGGGAGCAGGAATGACTTCAGAGATTTGTTGCTGTTGCTGTTGTTGTTGTTAGTTGCCATTGAGTCAGCTTCAATTCATGACATCCATTAACAACAGAACAAAATGTTGCCTGGTCCTGCATCATCTTCATGATTGTCTATGTGTTTGAGTTCATTGTTGCAGTTATTATGTAGTGCTGTCCAACCTAAGAGGCTCATCTTTAAGTACCATAACACATAATAATCTGTTATGACCCATGCGATTTTCAATGGCTAAGTTTTGGAAGCAAATCACCAGTCCTTTCTTCCTACTCTGTCTTAGTCTGGAAGCTTGCCTGAAACCTATCCATCATGGATGACCCTGTTGGTATTTTAAATACTGGTGACATAGTTTCCAGCATCACAGCAACATACAAGCCTCCACAGAATGGCATGCTGACAGCTGCCATTTATTGAGAAGTTGTCACATCAAAGGCACTGTTCCACATGCTTGACGTAATTATTGCATAAACTCCTGGTAACAATTTCATTAGGCAGATATTATCAGCCCAGTGTTACAGATGAGGGAACTGAAGCTAACTTCCTCATTTATTCATTCTTTAATTTATTTATTAAACAAATATTTTTTTATTGTATTTATACATTAGACTTAATTTTAGGCTTTCAAGATACAGCAGTAGCCACTAGAAGATTGTGTTATAGTGAAGGATACAGCCTATTTGGATGCTTATATATGAACAAAGGGAGCTCTGGTGGCATAGTATCTAAGGCACTTGACTGCTAACAGAAGGCTGGCAGTTCAAACCCACCAGCTACTCCTTGGAAAGATTGGGCAATCTACTTCCGTAGACATACTGTCTCAGAAACCCCAGGAGGGGTCACTATGAGTGGAATCCAACTCGAAGGCAGTGAGTTTGTTTTTTGGTTGGTATGTGAACAAATAAGATAGACTTTCATGCAGTCATGTGCATTCTAAAGAAAAATAGAGTAAGGAGATAAAAGGAATATGAAGTGTAGGGTGGGGTAATTATTTTCGATAAAATTCTCAGTGAAAGCCTCCATGAGAAGTACTGTTTAAAGAAAATCTTGAAGAAAAAAAAAAAAAGAGTAAGCTATGGAAAGATCTGGGGGAAATAGGTTCTAGGTAGAGGAAACAGTAAGTACAAAGACTCAAGCATGATCTCAAATTTCTCAACCACTAGATTTAACTGTTAGATTTGCCTTTGAAGACATTTACAAAGTGAAGAATGTGACAAGGGCATTCCAAGCAAAGAGAGAGAAAGGACCAAGGTTGGGGTTTCAGGAAGTTCTGACACTTGGCAAACAACAGCAGGTTACTTCTATGGAGTTAGAAAAGAATCCTGAGCACACAAGTATCTTGACTTATGGTCTCTTCCCAGAGTGAGGCTTGTTGCTGTTGTTACATGCTGTGGAGTTGGACTGGACTCATAGCGACCCCTCCTTGGGTTTCTGAGGCACTATCACTACGAAAGTAGATTGCCCAACCTTCCTTCCGAGGAGTGGCTGCTGGGTTTGAACGACTAGCCTTCTACCAGAGCTCCCTAGCGTGAGGCTCAGGGACTTGTAAAGTCAAATTGCAGCATTTGGTATTTAACGTCTCTCATTCCCAGCTTGTCTGAACCTTCATGGCACAGAATCAGAAGACATTGATTTGAATTCTCTCTGCTCTTCGCAAACAATAATGTACTTGGAAAAAACGTGACCTTAGAAGTCAGACAAACGTGGGCTCAAGTCTCTATTATATCTTAGACCAAAGAGCCATCATGCAGATTTTCACTGTTGGTATCTTGTGACGTGGATTTGTGAAGTAGAGTTAGAACACTGTATGAATCCTACCTGTGCCTCTTTCTTGTTCTGAGGTCCTGGGACAGTTACTTAGTTTATTTGAACTTCAGTTTTGTCTACAACAGAGATCTACATTATATATGAAACCTCATAAAGATAATGTGATAATTTAAAGAGACAATGTACATAAAAGGCTCTGGCATCTGTTCTTAGAAGTTATATTACCATGACTAATATTAGATGTGTGCAGCTTTAGCAAATCACTTGAGCACACTGAATAAATTTTCCCACTGATAAAATGGGGGATATTTGCCATTTATTGTGGACTATTGTAAGGATTAAATGAGAGAATATTTTTTGTAAGAACTTAGTAAATTGTAAAATGCTATCAAATATGACAGTTTCTTATAATAATGTATGTTTGTGTGAATTTACCAGGCATTAGCTTTCAAGACCATATATTACCTTCCATTCCATTGGCTTGCTTTAATGCATTTGGTCAGTTCTTTTACTAAGGGTCTGTCCTAGGTACTGGAGGTACCATGACATGATCTGTACCATCAAGAGCAATCTAAAATATCTGAGAATTCTAATAGCATTTTCACATATGTGTCTGTTTAGCTGGTCTTAAGAGTATATTTATTCTTTTAAAAAAAATTCAACTAAAAATGACTTGTTAATTTTATTTTGACTATTTGAATTGTCCTGTACTTACAATAATCTTTTAACCAGAAAAATAAGTTTTTCTATTGTGCACTGATTTTCATTTTAAAAATATGTTAGTAGGCTAAGATTAAGTTGCAAATGCATTTATGTGTTACTATTTAATAGAAAGCACAAAACCTCTAAAAGGTAGAGAGAAGATTTCTGCTTAGTTTGGCCTGTATTCACTAATCAGTGAGTTTGTAGGCATGGCACTAACGGTTGACTAATCTCCTACAGAAGACTAGTGTGCGGACCCAATGCCATTGAGGTTGAAATCCAGCCTATATGGAAACTGCTTGTTAAACAGGTAGCTGCTTTACTTTCTTTTTGAAAAAAATAATTCCTTCTTCCTACTTTTTATTTCCTAATCCTTAGGGGGATCTAAAGTAATCCAAGGATACTTTGATGTGAATGAAATCTGTGTTGCATGCAGCTTCTATTTGTACTCCTCTGCTTGTCTTATTTGTCTATGTTTTCCCTGTCTACTGAGTTTTTAGTTTTATTTCAATGAATATATATTGTTTTCATTCCAGAATTTCTAACTGAACTTTTTAATAACTTCTTGTTTTAAATTCAAATCCTCTTTAGAATCCTTTTCCAGTATGAGGGACAGATTCCTGTTCTATAATCTCCTATTTATTTATTTTGTTTAGATTTCTTAAGTTTTTGGTGCCAATTATGGTTGTGATGATGGTGGTAGGGCTATGTTATTACTTCTGTGATCTCTTTGAGCACTTTAAACTTATTTTCTTCTTTCTCATATTGCTCTACTAATTCAATTTTCTTGTGAGTGACTTCTTCGTTTGTTACAATGTTTTCCTTTTGTGTTAAAGGTGTTTTGTTTTGTTTTGTTCTCCCATAAGTCCACCTTAAGTAGGACTTTTTACCCCTCCTCTTCCCTGTTTTCCTGTGCTCATTCATTCTCCTTCTTTGAAAGCTCTATATTTGCCTTTAACTGGTCCCTATAAGGTGTCCAGTTCAGAGCCAGAGCCTGTATTGAATGTTTGGGCTCTTATCCCTCTGGAATGGTCCATTTAAAGGCCATGAGCCAGCTTACAGTTTGGCCCAGACAAACTCGCTTTCCCCCATTCCAGCTTTGGACAGTGAACCACTGGCTGTGAATTTTCTCAGCCTCTGCTCTGGAGCATAGACCACAGCTGTTCCTGCTTTGCACAGCAAGTCTGGGTTCAGTCCCCTGCCACATATAGGGCACTTTCTGTCTCCATTCCCCATAGCGTTGGACTCCTGGCTGTAGTGATCTAGTCCTTATTTGGTGCTCCCTAGGTTTATGAATCGGGGCCGACTCGAGGTCACATAACAACAACAACAACAACAGGTTTATGTTTATGTTGGGAGTTCTGGTAGTGTGGTGCCTAAGGCACTGACTGCTAACCAGAAGGCTGGTGGTTCAAACCCACCAGCCACTCCTCAGAAGGCAGATGGGACAATCTACTTCGGTAGTGATACTGCCTCGGAAACCCAAGGAGGGGCTGCTATGAGTCGAGTCTGACTCGACGGCACATAACAACAACAACAATAACAGGTTTATGTTAGTCTTCACTCGATGTTGCATATTTCTACTCCTAATCTATAAATATGATTTTTGCTTTTGAGTGTGATTATATGTTTTTAATATTAATTTTTATATCTTTCATTATTCTGTGTTTGGAGCAGAAAGAAGGCTGCTTTTTAACTTCTTATTCAAGAACATTTTCAAATTGCTAAAGATTCTCCCTGGTGTCAATGTGGTTCTTGAAAGGAGCACTGGTATTTTCTAGCACCTATTTACTAGGTCTTTTTTAGTAGAAATAAAATAAAATAAAACTACTTCACATTTGATTTCAAAATAACTTTGACTAAGACAGCTAAATTAATTATGATGGTGGTGTTTCTTCTACAAGAAGTACTTAACCAATTTTCTACTGGATTTATATAAACTCAAATTGTATTATCATTGGTGCATAATCTATAATTATAGCATTTTACGCCAAGCAAACATAAGAGCTATAATTTGTAAGTAAAGCATTTTAAAATGGAAATAATAAGAAACATTAAGGAACAAAATTTTTAATGTACAAAATATGTGTGAGAGTTTAAGAAACCCTAAGATGCAACCTATTTAGTTTGTTAACCAGATGTCAGTTAACTTTTATGATGGAAGTAGAATTTTATTTAGTACATTAGAGAACTCCAGCAGCCATTCCTCAGAAGGAAGACTGGGCAATCTGCTTCTGTAGAGATATTGCCTCAGAAATCCAAGGAGGGGTCGCTATGAGTCGGAAACGGTTCAATAGCAGTGTGCTTGTTTTTTTTGGTTTTGGGTGTTGGAGAATTACAGAAAGTAAAGCTAAGAAATGAACATCATTGGTTTTAGCCAATATTTTATCTAATTCATAATTATAAAGGACATTTCCTTCAAAATAAAATCCTAGGTGGTGTAGTGCCTAAGGCATTTGACTGCTAACCAGAAGGCTGGCAGTTCAAACCCACCAGCCACTCCTCAGAAGGAAGACTGGTCAATCTACTTCAACAGTGATACTGCCTTGGAAACCCAAGGAGGAGTCACTATAAGTCGGATCCGGCTTGATGGCAGTGAGTGTGGTTTGGTTTGGTGCTTTGCTCAGATGGGCTCTTAAATTCATGCTAAGTATGTATGCCATGAAACCATTCTATAGCCCTTTCTCCTGTAATTATTAATAATGGAGTCATCACTTACAAAATGGGGAAATTTGAGGGTATCTAAAAAGTTGAAGGTATTCACAAGCAACTGAAAAATCCACGCATGGATGACCAGGTTTGGACCTGAAGATACAATCTGCCTACAATGTTTACTGCAGCCTTGGGTAAGATATTTCTCTTCAGTATCTGTCCTGGTTCAAGGGAAGAGCTGTGTTGCCTGAATCATTCACAGAGTATCTTATTAAGACCTGGGACAAAAAGAATGTTATTTTTAAATGACTTGAGTGAAAGTAGAAACTCTCATTTTCACTGCATAACTTGATTAAATCTATGCAAAAAAAAGAGCCTACAACTAAACTGTTCTAAATTGTCAAAAAACAAAACAAACAAAATAACCTGTATCATCTTTCTCCTCCATTATGGTAAAGTATTTTAAAAAGATAAACTGTGGGATTTCTGTTATTGGTGAAATATTTTTTAAAATAAAAATATTTAAAAATAAATAAATAAAAATTATCAATTTGTGGGCATGGCTCTGAGTGCTTAAAATAAATTTGGTTCCATCATATATTCTATGTGCTTGACATTGTCTCCACTCAAATTAATGGAGTTCTAGGTGAATTTCTTAAATATTAGAGGCTATTGTGTGCTGTATAAAATGAGAGAAAAAATTCTGACATTATATAGAGAAATAATAATATCTTAACTGCTACTAAGGTCTATACAAGTAATCCAAATGCTACTTTTGTACCTGCAGGTTTTAAATCCATTCTACGTGTTCCAATCCTTTACCCTAACTTTGTGGCTGAGTCAAGGTTACATAGAATATTCTGTGGCCATCATCATCTTGTCTGTTATCTCCATTGTCTTAAGTGTGTACGATTTGAGACAGGTAAGAGTTGAAATCACTGTTGGATTCTATTTAGCTTCTGGCTGCACAAGAAGCAAAACCTGTAAAACTTCCACTAAGAGCAATGATCTGCTTTGTCAAACTTAAGTCACATCAAAGCAAAAAGCAATGGCTCACTAAATGTGGAATCTCAGGAAGGGAGCTTCAGGGTTGATTTCAATGTCTTTGTAACCTCTGATCATTGAGGCTGCATTGAACATTGTGTTTAAAAGGACTATGAAGCTGTGTGTGAGTATGGTGGGAAAGAATGTTGTGATATATTAATGATGTGAGCCAGGGTTTTAGGAGAATGAAAGCATATCATGCCAACCCTGTGTATCAGTCATGACTTCTTTAGTTTGGAATATCAGAAACCCAACTAGGGCTAAATTGAGCAACTCATATAGGAAAGCTCATGGTTGTATTCACTTGGTCATGGCTGGATCCAAGCTCTCAAATTATCATTAGGCATCTATCTCTTTATCTCTTAACCTTGCTTTACAGCAGCGCAATCTGTAGTCTGTTGGCCAGTGCTAATATGAGAATTGCTTGTCTGTAATAAAATAAGTACTACAAAATGTAAGAGCCAGCATTTAAAAATTGTTGTAGCAATTTGACATTGCCACAATATCCAAGTATGTGATCACTTTTTTAGTAATTATGGATTGAGAAATAATTTTCATTGTGTGTGGTCTTCATGCTCCATATGGGGGCAAAGATGGCCACAACATTTTCAGGCATACCTTCTCTTCAGGGCCCATGATCTCAGATAAAAAAAGAGATTCTCTCTTTACCAATATTAATATCCCCAAAAGGACCCTGGTTGGGCCAGAGAGAAGGTAGGAGTGCCATGTGCTCTCTTATGCTTCAAAACCTTTTTGAGCTCTTTTAATTCCGTGCTTTGATCTATATTCTTTCATGTGGCAAGATATGCTATTTTCCCTTGTTTCTAAATGTTCTCCATATTGTGGGCTTCAGGTCAGTTATGCTACATGATCTGTTTTTCATACAAACACAACTTTGATTAGAATAATATGGTTTTAAGAGCTTTACACTTCCCTTCATTCCTAAAGCCCATTTTAGGCAGTCTTGCTAATCCCTAAACTCTTTTGTAAAGCAAATTCTTTTCATTGATGATAGTAATTCATAGTCCATAATCTTTCCCTCTCTCCCACAATCATTGTTCATATTATACCCACTTAAAGAATTATTTATCAGTCTTCTAAAAAATAATACATTTTGAAATAAGATTTAGCCAAATAAAGTAATAAGTAAATGTCACAGATCTTCTAAATCCCTACTTGCTGTCCCTTTTTAGAAAATATTCTACTACTGTGTTTAAGATTCATGAAACTGAATCATGAGGTAAACCCAAAAGAATCCTTCACTCTATATGTTGTATATTTTTGAAAACTTGACCTGTAGAATTAGCTTTTGAAAGCCTGGGAGGGGCAGCCTTCTGTTAGCCTGAAACTCTATTTTGTTGAAACTGTCTAGTTTCAAATTTCTTCCTTCTTCCAGAGGAGGAAATTAAGATACAGGGAGGTTATTCAAGGTCGTAAAGTGGTTTTGTGACACACACAGGACTCATGGTTCCTTGTAAAATGAAATTTTACTGCATATGCAATACTTTCTTAGTATACAGCCCCTTCTAAGGCACCATAGCTGAGGATGAACAAGAAACATAAATGATAGAGAACAGGTGATTCTAGGTGTCAGCATAGCAAAATCTGGGCACATGTCAGTAAGGCAGACATGGAGGTGTTTACTACAACTCTAATTGAAAAAGACATTTAATTCCTACTCTGTTTCAGTCACTCAACTAATACCACTTCTAATCATGACCTTTTATATGGTTTTAGAATGTACAAATTTTAACTTTTAGTTCTAATTGAAAAAGAGATTTAATTCCTACTCTATTTCATTCACTCAACAAATACCAACTCTAATAATGACCTTTTATATGATTTTAGAGCCTACAAATTTTTGCTTTTAAAGTCTTTGAAGAGAAATGAGAGAAAGGCAATAAGTATTTAAAAAACCAGAAATCAGGTCTTAAAAATGAAAGAATGTTGTTGTTGTTATGTGCCGTTGAGTCAGATCCAACTCTTGGCGACTCCTCCTTGGATTTCCGAGGTGGTATCACTACGGAAGTAGATTGCCCAACCTTCCCTCTGAGGAGTGGCTGGTGGGTTTGAACCTTCAGCCTTCTGGTTAGCAGTCAAGTGCCTTAGGCACTACACTACCGAGTTCCCAAATGAAAGAATAGATGAATGGAAATACTTTGGGTTAGAGAAAGGGCTAGAAGAGCTTTGTTTTTTGTTTGTTTGTTCTGCTTCCCCCTGCCCCCCATAATTGCCTGAGTGTATATTTTAAAATATTTCTTCATGAACTAATTTAATCATAAAAATATTAATGGTGACCAGTAATGTTTACTGTCTGGGTGCCAAGTAATGGGGAAGAGTTTTTGTCTTTCAGGTGAACTGTAGGCACCTAAGCGATAACACTCAAATAGACACTGGGACAATGAAAGATCTGACATGCCTGAGGCACTTGACTACTAACCAGAAGGTTGGTGGTTCAAACCCACCAGGCACTCCTCAGAGGGAAGGTTGGGCAATCTATTTCTATAGTAACACTGCCTTGGAAACCCAAGGAGGGGTCGCTTTGAGTCGGGCGCGACTTAACGGCACATAACAACAACAACAGTAGGAAACAGAGATCAGTGTCCCATATTTTTACCTTTGTCATTTGATAAAGATCCCAAGTAGAACTTTTAGTTTCTGGATTTTGATAAATCTTTGTTTTAAATAGAGTATCTTATTTAATTCTTAAATGTTCATGTCTGTCTTTTAATATGGGCACCATACCATGTCTTCTTAGGCGACAGTAGAAAAACTGAGAATTTTAACTATAGAAATTTGAGTACAATGTTTAGTTTTAAAACTTCCTGTCACTTTCATCTATTTGACCACAAGCACTACATTTTTTAAAACTTTGTTTTATAATTATAAAATTATATTAATTAGTTAAAGTTAATTAATTGAATTAAATAAATATAAAATTAACAAATTATTTAATTTAAATAACCACATTTCAAATATTTGGGGAAAATAGAAAAAAATACTCATATGATTATAACACAACTAATATAATGCCAAAGGGTCAGGTAGCCTGCATCTTCTGACCTCCTCTAACCCCACAAGAGGAAGACAGAATCACCAAGGTCTATCCCTGTGAGGCCAAACATGTTGCCTCCTTTTAGCCCTTTCACCAACTCTGACACCAACCGTTCTTTCCACAGCACCCACCACCTCTCTGCTGGGTTCGATAATTCACTGCAGTGGCCACACAAAACTCACAGATTATGTGGGTTATTAGGGAAGCAACAAGCTACAATTCAAGTTCAGAAATGCACTCAGTCTCTCGCAGCCAGCTGTCTCACTTAGTAGCCAGCAGTCTCTCTCTCAGCAGCACATCTCTTGTGTCTCTCTATCAACAGTGCGTGTCTCTCGAGTCTCTCTCAGCAGCACGTGTCTCTTGTCTCTCTCTCTCAACAGCATGTCTTTCACCTCTCTCTCTCAGCAGTGCATGTCAGCAGTCAGAGAGACTAATTCTGCCTGAAGAAGGGCTCCTTTTGAGCCTGGCAGAGCAGCCTGAACCAACCAATCCCAACATCAGAGCTCTACACATCTGAAAGAGGGCAAACTTCCCAGAAAATTACTTAATGCTGCTCCCAATAGAAATACCTGAGGTGCACAACTTTAACAATGAGGAACTACTCAGTTTCTCACAGCAAATTCCACCATGGAGTTTACAAAGACTTATGGCTAGAAAAGCCACACTACGTAATTTACTACATTGCATGTGACATAACACGATCTCACCCCTGTTTTTGTTTTCTGTTCATAATATTATAATATTGTTTTCATAATATTTCATAGAGTGAATTTCTCATAATTTTTTTTAGCCATCCTTTTATTTACATTGCTTCTAGATAATCAGTTAAGCATGGTGATTAAAAACATGATCTTTGAATCAGACTGACAGATATTTATTCATCCAATAAAGATTTGTTGAACCTGAATTGTGCTCAAGGCACTTTGCTAGGCATTGAAAGTATCCTCAAGTCACTTATATGCTGTCTGCCTTAAGTCAAGCACCAGCAAGTATGGTCCTTCCTATGTGCTTTGGGAAGATATATATATATGTAATCACTCCAATATTTAATCACAAACCATGTAAGTATTCTGAGATAAAATACTACGAGAACTTCAAAGAACTTCAAATAGGAAGATCTTATCTAATCAAGGTTCAAATTTCCTCTTTACCACTTCTATTTGTATTGCTTGGCTCTTTCATAATCAGCTTATATATATATATATATATATATATATATATATATATGTAGGGGTTCTGGTAACATAGTGCCTAAGGCACTTGACTAATGCTAACCAGAAGGCTGGCGGTTCAAACCCACCAGCCACTCCTCAGAAGAAAGATGGAGCAATCTACTTCCATAGTGATACTGCCTCAGAAACCCAGGGAGGGGTCACTATGAGTCGGGTCTGACTCGATGGTACATAACAACAATAACAGCAAATACACACGCACACACACACACACACCTGTTTTCTTAAGTGTTTTATCTCTCTCTCCCTGTGTATGTGATAGGTCTAATGTTATAGCTAAAAGGATCACTCATGGTGTTACCGCAGGGTCACCCATAGAGGAAGGTTCCAGGAGGGCTTCCAGACTAAGAGACTAGCAAGAGGGAAGTGGCAGTCTACTTCTGAAAAAATTGGCCAATAAAAACTGTATGAATAGTAGTGGAACATTGTCTGATATAGTTCCAGAAGATGAGCCCCTCAGGTTGGAAGGAACTCAAAGGTCAACAGGGGAAGAGTTGCCTCCTCAATTTAAAGTCAATCTTAATGACATGAATGAAGTACAGCATTCAGGACCTACATTTGCTGATATGGCATGACTCAAAATGAGAAGAA